AAATTATGCAGGAATAGGATCTCACCTAGAAAATTCAATCCATTGCTGAAAAGTAGTAGCATTCCTACCCAATTATTGTTCCCAGAGGTAACTGTTTTCATTTTAAGGTTATTCTTTCAGACCTCTTCTCTATTTACAAAAATGTATGTGTCTATACACACACATATAGCTCTGTTTTTTACACAAATGGCAGATACTTTCTTGCATATGAAATTTGTAATTTTTTTTACTATTAAAGTACATATTTGGAAATTTCCCTCTGACTTTTGCATTTTTAATTAAAGATGTGTTGGATGTGTTCCCTTACATTTTTAACTTGGCCAGAAAGATTTCTCTTGCTTTTACAAAATGGAAAATATTAGAACTGCTTTCAAAACTACAAATTGACTTAAACTCCAGTAGTTTTTCAACTGTATTTCATTATGCTTGGATTTGAACCTCAAGATTTTTACCCAACATACACAGTTATGTGTTGCTTAACAATGGGAATACATTGTGAGAAATCCATTCTTAGGCGATTTTATCATTGTGCAAACATCATAGAGTATACTTACACAAATCTAGATGGTATAGCCTACTACACACCTAGGCTATATGGTACTATTCTTATGGGAGCACCGTCATATATGCAGTTTGTTATTGACCGAAACATTGTTACATGACACATGACTGTACTATTATTGAGGATATTCAAAAAACATTTATGAAGCTTGCCTAATCCTCAGTACAGAATTTTTTTTTTTCCTGTTACTGTGAAATGGATGGAATGAAGGAGAGGAACACAACTAGCAAGAAAAAAACCTTGAGTTAGCAACTCATCTCACATCTCAGTTCTTGTCCCTGGATTTTTTCAGCTTTTTGTTCACATAAAGAATGTGAAATTTTTACAGAATCAGGTGACTTTTTTTAAACTTTTTTCACGATGCCTGCTAGGAACCAAAATGGCCATGAAAAAAACACCTCAAAACAATTGATTTTGCAGAATATTTATGTAGTTGACTCCCAAGAAGTACCATATGTGATACAAAACCTGAAAAAAATAATACAAGAAAATAACAGACAAATATCCCTCATGGACAAAGAAATAAAAGTCCTCAAAATATTAGCAAATTGAACCCAGCATTGTATAAAAAGGATAATAATAATATATCATGACCAAA